ATGTAGAGGTTGCTGGGAGCAGTAGGATCATCTGCTGGGCGTGTCTCCACCACCACAGGCCTGGGGAAGAGAGAAGTCAGTTCAGGCATTTGTTTTGTTTTTTTGTGTTGTTATTTTAATTCTCACCCGAGGATATTTTTCCATTGATTTTTTTTAAAGAGAGTGGAAGAGAGAGGGAAAGACAGAGAGAAATACTGATTTGAGAGAAACACATCGATTTGCTGCCTTCTGCACGTGCCCGACAAGGGCCTGGGCTGGGGAGTAGCCTGCAATCGAGATATATGCCCTTGACCAGAATTGAACCTGGGACCCTTTGGTCTGCAAGCCGATGCTCTATCCATTGAGCCAAACCGGCTAGGGCACGGCATTTGTTCATTAATTCATTCATTCATTCACAGAGAAATTAATAGAGGCTGTGCCTGCATAATGATGGCTGGTAGCAGTGAACGAGCAGACATGGTCCCTGAACTCAGGGAGCTTAATTTAGAGCAGGAGACCAACATGAATCAGGGAATTACATGCGTGCAAAGAAGCATGGCACACAGCAGGGATACCTAGCCCCAGGGGTCAGCCAAGGTGCCTCCAAAGAATGGATAGGGGATCCTATCCAAAGCTTAGGAGGGAACTTGGTGGAAAGACAGGGAAGAGTGTTCTGGAGAGAGAGCCTGTGCAAAGGCCTTGAGGCGGAGAGGGCCTGGGGGTTGGCTGCAGAAGTCATGGTCTTGTGGGCTGCGGCCAGACTGGGTATTTATCTTGAAGCCACAGGAGGGTTTTATTTTTTATTTTATTTTTTAAAATATATTTTTATTGATTTCAAAGAGGAAGGGAGAGGGAGAGAGAAATAGAAACATCAATGGTGAGAGAATCACTGATCTGCTGCCTCCTGCACACCCACCAATGGGGATCAAGCCCACATCCTGAGCATGTGCCTTTGACTGGAATTGAACCTGGGACCTTTCAGTCCACAGGCCAACGCTCTATCCACCGAGCCAAAGTGGCTAGGGTGCCACAGGAGGGTTTTAGACAGGGAGAGTGACAAATCCATGTTTGGAAATTAAAAGACCCCTCAGGCATGTCAAAAAGGTCACAGAAGATCTTTGAAGAGGCTCTCATTGGCTAAATCTGGGAGTATTTGTACCTTAAAATAAATGATAATCTCTATATATAAAAGACTAAGTGACTGAATGACCAAACGACCAGTCAACCAGTCACTATGATGCACACTGACCACCAGGGGGCAAACGCTCAACATAGGAGCTGCCCCCTGGTGGTCAGTGCATTCCCACAGCCAATCTCCCATGGCCAGCCAACCTCTCACATCCCTCCCTGGCCCTGATCATGCACTGGTGGGGTCCTTCGGCCTGGCCTGTGCCCTCTCGCAATCCGGGACTCCTCAGGGGATGTTGGAGAGCTGGTTTCAGCCTGATCCTGTAGGCCAGGCCGAGGGACCCCACTGGTGCACGAATTTGTGCACCAGGCCTCTAGTCCATAGAATAAAATGGAAATCCATGAGACTATGCTGAAATACATACAAACACACACATAAATAGCGGAGAAGGGACAGCTTTTCGCTACAGTAGAATTCCAACTAATAAGTATAGAAGGAATCTCCTGGCCAGTGTGGCTCAGTTGGTTTTCCCATGCTCCTAAAGGTTGTCAGTTGGATTGCTGGTCAAGGCATGTGCCTGGGGTTCTGGCTCAATTCCCAGGGAGTGTGCTTATAGGAGACAACCAATCCATGTATTGCTCTCACATCGATGTTTCTCTCTCTCTCTCCCTCTCTCTCTCTCTCAAAAAAATCAATTAAAAAATCTTTAAAAAATATAAATGTAGATGGAATGATAGAAATAGAAAAATCACCATTTAGTAACCATCCTAATAATATATTCAGGCAAAAATCATCTATAGTCCTGCCCGGGTAGCTCAGTTGGTTAGAGTGTCATCCTGGTATGCCAGGGTTGAAGGTTCAATCTCTGGTCAGGGCACATATAAGAAGCAATCAATGGCCCAGCTGTGGTGGCTCAGTGGTTGAGCATCGACCTATGAACCAAAAGGTCATGGTTCAATTCCTGGTCAGGGCACATGCCTGGGTTGCAGGCTCAATCCCCAGTGGGGGACATGCAGAGGCAGCCAATCAATGATTCTCTCTCATCATTAATGTTTCTTTCTCTCCTTCTCCCTTCCTCTCTGAAATCAATTAAAAATATTTTTTTTTAAAAAAAAGAGGCAACCAATGAATGCACAAGTGGAACAACAAATCGCTGTCTCTCTCTCCCTCTAAAATCAATAAATAAAACTTTAAAAAAAATCAATAGCTGCTAAAACTAGTCGATGAAAGTCTTAATAAGAAAGAGTATATTTACACAGTCTCAACACATCACCCAAAAAGATAAAGTAGTCTCTCCTCCCCCCATCCACAGTTTTGCTTTCCAAGGTCTGTTACCCGAGGTCAACAGCAGTCCAAAAAAAAAAAAAAATGGAAAATTCCAGAAATAAACAATTCATATGTTTTAAATTGCATGTTGTTCTAAGTAGTATGATTTAATCTGGTGCTGTGCCACTCTGTCCTACCCAAAGTGGGTCATCTCTCTCTGTCTAGCTTACCCAAGTTGTATTTGCTAGCCTGCCATCAGTCACTTAGCCATCTCAGTTATCAGATCGACAGTTTTGGTATCTCAGTGCTTATGTTCAAAGAACCCTTATAGTAGTATTATTTTTTGGTTATTAGGAATATCACTGGTACAACTAGTGAGACTTTAATGGGTGTGTGGGTTAGAAGATAGTGATGTCTCCATATTTTCTTGATTTTGAAGGCTGCATTGTGGTTTGTAAGAGCAGGTCCTTGCTTGATTTAGTAAACACACACTGAAGAATTTATGGATAAATAGGCACCACGTCTGCAAGTTACACCCTCATAGTCAGGCAAAAATTAATGGACTATTGGGGGGAAGAGATGGAAACAGGGACCAGGGGCGAGAATGTCTAGGCCAAAGATTCAGGTGGCAAGGAACACCTCAGGATGCCCTCTCCACATCAGAAGCTCCCCTCCCGGGTCCTCTAACCCCTTCCCCAAGTCCATACCTGGGGGAGCCAAGCAGACGGAAGGTAAGGGTGGGGTCTCTCAGCTCCTGAAGCAGCTGGGGGAGAAGATGTGTGTCAGTATCTAGAATACTCTTCCCTCGCCCTTAAAGAAAACAGGAGGGAGTTCTCTGAACTCCCAGCCTCAGATTCACAAATAATCGTTCTTGCTAATATCACTCACCAGTTGTGCGACCTCAAGCAAGTTACTTAACCTCTCTGTGCCTTGGATTACTAACCTGTGAAATCACAGTACCTACCTGATAAGTGATCACGAAGATTAAATAAAACACAAACATGTATGTCAGGTTCTGACACACAGTGGTCTATGAGCTAAGCACCATTTTTGCCCCATCTTCCAGATGAGGAAAGGCACAGGAAGGTTAAGTCATTTGCCTAAGGTGACTCAGCTCGATTCCAACCCAGGCAGTCTGGTCCATACTCCAACCCCCCATATATCTCCATAGTGACCCCTATTTTATAGTTGGGACGCTGAGGCTAAGAGAGAAGCAAAGTCCTTTGCACAAGGTCACACATGGCCTGGGATGAGCTCTGGACACAGAGACCCTGGAGTAGAGCCGGGAACCAGTCTGAACAGAGCTTGGAGGTCGCTTCTCCTCAGGACCGCACACCTGACTCGGATCCCCTGGTCCATCTCCTGAGTGAGGTGAGTGAGAGGAGGTAAGGCTGTAGGGCTTGGGATGGAGACGCTTACCTGGTCAGAGCCCAGAGCCCACACCTGCACTCCGTGCTTCCAGAAGGCCTGGAGCCGCCCTCCGACCATCGCT